ATGACTCGAGCAATTAAGCCTGCAAGGGTATCTTAAAACCTGATGCCCTAAAGTCATCTGACTTGGGAGTCATCGGCCTAAAACTCGCTATATGGGTCATTTAGAAAGCAATCAAAGATGAAGTTGCCCTTAAAAAGAAAAAAATTTAAAAAATTGTTCTCTTCCAAGCCTTTTTGACTCGGGTTACTAAGCCTATAAGGGTATTTTAAAATCTAGTGCCCTAAAGTCATCTGACTTGGGAGTCGTCGACCTAAAACCTACTACATCGATCATCTAGAAAGCTTAAGGGAGAGAATGTAAAAAAAAAAAGAAAAAAACAAAATAAAATGAAAAAAAAAAAAAAAACCTGTTTCAAACTCACGACACATATTTTGCCTTTCTGGTGCATAACTTGTAGTGACTTCCAGAATACCAAATATGTATGTTAAAATTATGTAGAAAAGGGAATGAAAAAATCAACAAAAAATCATATTTTTACAAATAATCATACCTAAAATCCTTTTAAGCAATTTGTCTTCTTTTATCATTGGCTGAAGTTGAGAATCTTGTGTTTATGTGGACGACATTGTTGAATGAGCACGTTTATTCTTAAACCAATTATAAACATTCTTATCACAAATTTGGCCATATAACGACAACGCAGAGACTATTTGTGCGATTTTTTTATTTGTTTGGAGTTGTGTTGCCTTGATGAAATACTGATTCAATAATTTGGAGTTGGGGAAATGTAGGTATCCATCTACCCATTATCACTATGAAAGCAATCAAGTTATGACAGCAAGCAAGTCAACTACAAGATATGCAAATCCTCAAATTTAAAACAGAAAAATTAACAAAATATACTATACTAACGAGGAAAATAAATAAATAAAAATTATTATTATACTAACTCCGAGAAATATAAACTATCCATAGCTATGCATGGATAAGCCACCGTACTTCAAATATTTATAAAAGTGTATATAGACATCATATTTCAATTATTTATTTAAACATGCCTAATGAATAAAAACAAATATAATAGGAATCTAAAAAAAAAAAAAATTGGGAGGAAGAGTTAGATTATGTGTTTTTTTTTATGTTATATAATATTTACATATTAACAAGAAATCTTCTAAATTTTTTTGAAGAGATTAGGTAATTTGAGATAAATGTTTTTAGTTTTATTTGATTAGATGAGGTTTATGTATGAATTTGATAACCATATCCTTGTTGTTGCACCATGTTCTCTGAAATTCATAATTGATTAGTGGGAAGTATTGCTTTGTTATCAGAAATGAAACAATCTAAAAACTCAGGTTGCTTTTGCTTGGCTACTTAGACCCCTGTCTTTGTATTATTTCCAAAAACACCTTAAAAGAAAAAAAGAATTAAAAGAAAAAAATTGTGGCCTCCGCCATTACCTCAGTGCACGGAGGTGGAGGCCATATATTTTTTTTCTTTTTTCTTTTAAAATATTTTTGGGAATAATAAGAAGACAGTCTTTTAGTAAAAAATTGTCTATTCTACCACCCATGAATTTCTTGTCAAATCTAATTTAAAAAACAAAGTACACCTTTTTTAGTTTAAATACTTTCATTTTTCACCAGATTTTTTCATTCAACTCATTCATACTTCAAATATTCCACATAACAAACAATAAATTTATCATAAAATGGATGTCTCACGTAGTTTCTCCAGAATCATCACTTCTTCCCTGAATCACAATATTCGGCTAGTTAGTGCTTCTTTGACATTTTAATATGTATTTTATCACATGCTTATGTTTTTATTATTTTTATTTGTATATTTAATATAGATGCTTCCTACATTTTTTGTCAATGATTGGAGGCAAAAATTTGGTGATACAATAGAAGTAACTGCATATGATGGCATAATTGTCACCATCAAATTAGAAAGAGTCGATGGAAAAATATACCTAGCCGATGGCTGGGAACAATTTTTTGACTATCATAATTTACAGAATGGTTATGTTCTAGTATTCGAATATAACGATAATGTCACACTTAACATGACTATATTTGATCATTTTGGGCTAGAGGTTACATATGACTCTGATGAAGAAAGCCAAGAAGGAAACATTTCAGATAATTCCATATTTGAAATAATACTAACACCTCGTTTTAACAGCCACATGAAAATTGTAAGTTGTATATTTTATTATATATATATATATATATATATATAGACAGACACACACACACACAGTTTATGCAAGACGAACACTATTTAACTGTAATCTAACTTTTTCATCACAACAATAAAAGTTCTTACTTTCTTTATAAAACTTTTTTGCAGCATAATATTTACATATTGTATATGATAGAAGAATATAAGGTTTGGCCGGAATATTTCGTAGATTTATTCATTTGGAATTAACTCTTTTAGAATCATGTAAAATATTAGGAATTTCTAATGTTTCATTTTCAGAGTCTTTTTCAAGACAAATGCTTTCATCCTTGTATAACTCAATACAATCATCAATAGAACTTAAAAACATAAAAATAAAATTGATGAAAGATAACATAAACATTTCTAAACAACACAAAAAAGGAAAAACACAAGTAAACGAACATAAAAAAAAACTCAAACCTGTTTCAAACTCACGACATCTAGTTCACCTTTCTGGTGCATAACTTGTAGTGACTTCCAGAATACCAAATATGTATGTTAAAATTATGTAGAAAAGGGAATGAAAAAATCAACAAAAAATCATATTTTTACAAATAATCATACCTAAAATCCTTTTAAGCAATTTGTCTTCTTTTATCATTGGCTGAAGTTGAGAATCTTGTGTTTATGTGGACGACATTGTTGAATGAGCACGTTTATTCTTAAACCAATTATAAACATTCTTATCACAAATTTGGCCATATAACGACAACGCAGAGACTATTTGTGCGATTTTTTTATTTGTTTGGAGTTGTGTTGCCTTGATGAAATACTGATTCAATAATTTGGAGCTGGGGAAATGTAGGTATCCATCTACCCATTATCACTATGAAAGCAATCAAGTTATGACAGCAAGCAAGTCAACTACAAGATATGCAAATTCTCAAATTTAAAACAGAAAAATTAACAAAATATACTATACTAACGAGGAAAATAAATAAATAAAAATTATTATTATAGTAACTCCGAGAAATATAAACTATCCATAGCTATGCATGGATAAGCCACCATACTTCAAATATTTATAAAAGTGTATATAGACATCATATTTCAATTATTTATTTAAACATGCCTAATGAATAAAAACAAATATAATAGGAATCTAAAAAAAAAAAAAATTGGGAGGAAGAGTTAGATTATGTGTTTTTTTTTATGTTATATAATATTTACATATTAACAAGAAATCTTCTAAATTTTTTTGAAGAGATTAGGTAATTTGAGATAAATGTTTTTAGTTTTATTTGATTAGATGAGGTTTATGTATGAATTTGATAACCATATCCTTGTTGTTGCACCATGTTCTCTGAAATTCATAATTGATTAGTGGGAAGTATTGCTTTGTTATCAGAAATGAAACAATCTAAAAACTCAGGTTGCTTTTGCTTGGCTACTTAGACCCCTGTCTTTGTATTATTTCCAAAAACACCTTAAAAGAAAAAAAGAATTAAAAGAAAAAAATTGTGGCCTCCGCCATTACCTCAGTGCACGGAGGTGGAGGCCATATATTTTTTTTCTTTTTTCTTTTAAAATATTTTTGGGAATAATAAGAAGACAGTCTTTTAGTAAAAAATTGTCTATTCTACCACCCATGAATTTCTTGTCAAATCTAATTTAAAAAACAAAGTACACCTTTTTTAGTTTAAATACTTTCATTTTTCACCAGATTTTTTCATTCAACTCATTCATACTTCAAATATTCCACATAACAAACAATAAATTTATCATAAAATGGATGTCTCACGTAGTTTCTCCAGAATCATCACTTCTTCCCTGAATCACAATATTCGGCTAGTTAGTGCTTCTTTGACATTTTAATATATATTTTATCACATGCTTATGTTTTTATTATTTTTATTTGTATATTTAATATAGATGCTTCCAACATTTTTTGTCAATGATTGGAGGCAAAAATTTGGTGATACAATAGAAGTAACTGCATATGATGGCATAATTGTCACCATCAAATTAGAAAGAGTCGATGGAAAAATATACCTAGCCGATGGCTGGGAACAATTTTTTGACTATCATAATTTACAGAATGGTTATGTTCTAGTATTCGAATATAACGATAATGTCACACTTAACATGACTATATTTGATCATTTTGGGCTAGAGGTTACATATGACTCTGATGAAGAAAGCCAAGAAGGAAACATTTCAGATAATTCCATATTTGAAATAATACTAACACCTCGTTTTAACAGCCACATGAAAATTGTAAGTTGTATATTTTATTATATATATATATATATATATATATAGACAGACACACACACACACAGTTTATGCAAGATTTTGAAGAAATCAAGCTCTTATTTTTTTGATTCGAGATCAAAAGGATATTCTGACAATGACGAAGAAAACATAGAAAACAAAAATGGTAGAAAATCAAAATTAACATCGAAATTAAGTTTAGTTACTACAAGATCTGTCAATATTGTCATTTTCGTCGAAAGAAGTTATCAATGATGGCGAAGGACTAGTACACGTATATGTGAATCCCGCTCCAGCTCTTGTAAAATTAAAATCAGAAAAATAAATTTTAAAACAATTTTCAAAAAATATAATAAAAAAGAAATAAAAGAAAGTTATGAAAATTAAATAAAAAATATATAAATATTATTTAGTTAAAATTGGAAAAGTATGTTTTACTAAGAAAAGAAATGAAATTTTTTTAAGTATATATATTAAGGAGACAAAAGTCTCAGTGCACAAAGAACTTGTCTCCCTGCATGCATGGAGAGTTAGAGAAATATATTTTTACATATAAGTAACTATAATGATAATTTATTTTTTTTAACTTAAAAAACTTGAAAGAATTTTTTTTACTTATAACTAACTCTTTACATTTTAGAAATATACTAAGCTAATATTTTTTTATTCAGCACATAGTGAAGAGATGAGATTGGTGGCATGAAAAGTTGAGTGTTGCAATAAATTTGGAAGTAGACTGTATAATAAAAGATATATACTAAGACAAACTGTGTCTTTTTGCTCTCCCACTTAAAAAAACAATAAAAAATACTATAATGAAATAAAATGGGTTAAAACACTATTTTCCTCAACAGTGAAAAAAATATATTAAGGAGATAAAAGTCTCCGTGCACGGAGACCTTGTCTCCCTGCATGCACGGAGACAAGTCTTCGTGCATGGAGACTACGAGTCTCCGTGCACGGAGAGTTAGAGAAAGTTATTATTATTATTATTTTTCAAAGCTAATATATTTTTATATATAAGTAACTACAATGATAATTTTTTTTTTTTTAACTTAAAAAACTTGAAACAATTTTTTTTACTTATAACTAACCTTTACATTTTAGAAATATACTAAGCTAATATTTTTTTATTTGCACGGAGTAAAGACATGAGATTGGTGGCAGGGAAAGTTGCGTGTTGCAGTAAATTTGGAAGTAGACTGTATAAGAAAATATATATACTAAGACAAACGGCACCATTTTTGCTCCCCCACTTTGAAAAAAAAAAAATGCTACCGTAAGATAAAATTAATAAAAACACTGTTCCCCTCAATAGTGTCTTCACATTCCACTTCTTATAAAGTAGGGATATGGTAAACCTACTGAGAATAGCAAGAAAGATAACAAAATAATTTTTAAATCATAATTGTATTACTGACTCAATGTTGTTGAGATATATTTCAAAATTAACGTGGGACGAAATATATTTTGATAACAAATATCTGTAATATAATGTGGATTGATTAAGGTTGTTCTGATAACACAGTCAAGATACAAATTATCATTAGGAGGCATTTAGACAACAACATAAGCAGTAACACAATGACAAATAGACATAAATAAGATGGGGATTGGGCTTGCCTAGTGCGATTTATCTGGTTGGCGTGGTTTGCAAGCTATTGCGTCAACCTGAAGATTTATCCATTGCTCACCCGAAGGATAACGGCTACGAGTTCTTCTGTCATTAATTGTTCCGAAGAAGATAGGAACAACTCATTCTTCGTATGTTGGATACCAGCATCAGGCCCCGATTGAAGCATAAGGTTCTTCTTTTTCTATAATACTAATTCTAATGTGAAATCCTAAGTATTTATTTGTAATTTGCCAAACAAAAAATAACTACTAAGAATTTATAGAAAAATGAGTTAAATCTTTAAGTAAAAAGAATTAAACCCATTAAATTAATAGAATATATGCCATCCACGTGACGTGGAGTCGGACTTCTTTTAAATTTTTTTGCTGAATATGGAACACATTACATTCTCCTTTCCATTATCTTGTCTTTTGAAATCTAGCAATTATTCTCTCACATGACCATATACCCTCAAAAAGGTTAAAGGAATATGTGTGTTTTTTTTTTTTTTAAATCAAATATTAGATTTTTGGAGATTTTATAGAAATTCTTTATATGGAGTATTGCCATTTTATTTTTTTCTCAAAATAACATAGAAATTCAAAAAAATAAAAATAAATAAATAAATAAATAAAAATAAAATTAAAAAAAAAATCAGCGAAAAGTGAAAAGAGGCAGAAATATTCCTTTTAGATCGTTGATCTCTATATTAACATTGAGGCCGCTCTACTTTAATTCCAGATCGAATCACCACACTTTTATTTTGTTTTGATTTATTTCTTTCCGTTTCATTTCAACACGTTGTCTAATGTCCAGGCGGGAAAAAAATGATCCGAAAGACATGATACAATCGAAAAATGTATGTTTTAAATTATTATTAATCCATAAGTTTTTTTCAATTATAGCACTTTTTCAAGGTCCTTTTTTTACGACCATGTAGAATGATCGTTGTAGACAATGCTGGAATCAAACAAAGTGGTCTAAATTGAGAAAAAATTAAAATATAATGCCATAACTTAACAAAATATAGTGCTCAATTGAACTTTGAGTCAAGGTATAGGGACCGAGATGCAATAAACGCAAAATTCCGCCAAGACCGGAGCTAATGGAGGACAATATCAATTCTTCCTATATATAAGGAGGAGCTAAATGAATACAAATATATTCAGACATGCAATTGAGAAATCTGCAGAAAAATACGGAGAGTAATTAATGGGCATAAGGGAATTTGATATAGCAGGAAACAGGTTAGTTATACACGAGCTTGAAGACGTTTGTCATCCGGTCACGGGTCGGGCACTCACCGGGTCGTGGATCTGGGACTCGGCTCTGGTCCTTTCCCACTGGTTGTCAAATCAGTCGCAAACCAAATTCGACTTCACTGGTAAAACAGTGGTGGAACTCGGAGCCGGAGCGGGACTTCCAGGCTTGACCGCGGCTCGTCTTGGCGCCAGCCGAGTCATCCTGACTGATATTGAGCCGTTGGTTCCGGGACTCAAGACAAACGTGGAAGCGAATGGGCTGGGAGACCGAGTTTCGGTAAGTCAACACGTATGGGGATCGGACGATTTTTGCAGTCTACTTGATGAGTTAGGAGAGGTGGATTTGGTGCTCATATCGGACGTGTTCTTCGACGCGGCTGAGATGGAGGCGCTGGCGAAGACTCTGAAGAGGTTATGCGGGAAAGGAGCTACAGTTTGGGCGGCGAGCGAGTTGAGGTCGATGACTAGCGACTGCTTAATTGAGTTGGCGAGCGAAGGGTTTGAAATCGTTGAGTTGGCGACTCAACTCGGGGAGGATTTTTCTGATAATTCAACGCGTGTAAATTCGGAGGTTTTCGCCATTTTTCATCTGGTTCCAGTTAATCAAGAGAATGACAGTGAAAAATGGTCGCCGATTATATCATGATATATTTTAAGAATTAATCTACTTGTACCAAATATCTTACCTAATTTTTTGATCGAATTGACAAGTGGCGTCCCCCTATTGGAGGGGCGCTTGTCCACTCTAATAAAGGCATGACACTTGTCAATTCGGTCATCCATTTGATAAATGATTTGGTACATATAACATCAATTATGTAACCTCTAAAAGACAGCCAAATAATTCATTAATCATTTGTTGACAGAATGACAGTCTCAAAATATAGAGAGCTGCTTAATGTACAGAAACAGAAACTTTACAGACGAGGGAATGATCATTTTTGGACATTATTTTATTCCAAATGAGACCCCACGCTCATGTGACACATCTGTATAACTTCTGTGAAATAATTTTTGTACAACGAGTATTATTGTAAAATATATGCCCAGTTCCAAAATTGTGACATCACGAAATCATGGACGGATTGAGTATCGGAGTAAGTTTTTTTTTACTATATTATTTTGATCAATTTTTATAATTTAAACAAGGAAAGAATCAAGAAGAAACAGTCTAATTAAATTTGACCTATCGGCTATCAACCCGTGGTTGTGGCTTCATACCGAACCTGACTAAGAAAAGAAATGGAAGAGTGACTGAATTTTTCTTTTTAAGTTAGTTCTATTTCGATGAAAGTTATAGTTTTGGCTATTTTATTTTGTAATCTCAAATTGAATTGTATTTTGAGCTTTTTAGGAGATTTCTTTCCAATTTGGAGCCAAGAATTTTTTCTTCTTGTGATGTTTTATGACGTAAAAAAACTATATGTTATTGTCTACGTATATGACAAATTTCGCTTAATTATTTCTTGACTTTTAGAACATTGATTGAACTATAAAAACTCAGACGGTCATAACATTAGTCGAACTATGAAATCCAGGCCGTTAGTACGGTGCTCAAATAGCAAAACTCAAATTTAGTCTAAGCACGTTAAAATTGATCATGACTTTATAATTGAATATTTTATGAACGTTAATATATTACGTTCCCAAGAAAAGGATAATTAAAATAGTAATCCAATTTTATTTTATTTTCAAATTTTAATTCAAATTAGCGACGAAAATAACAACGAAAGTCCGTTGCTAATTATCGACAGACTAAATCCGCAAGTAATCTGCGACGGAAAAATTTGTTGCTAATGTAGTTGCTAATTAGTTACGAAATAAGTCGTCCGTAAACAACAAAGATTTCCCCCACCCCCCCCCCCCCCCCCCAAAACAAACAAAAAACAAACCG